TCAAATTAACTTTTTGTTTTTTTTTTTAAAGAACAAAAAATGTGAAATTTTACTAAAATAACTATACTAAAAACTAGTGAAGAATATTAAATGATACAAGTGAATTGTAATAAATAAAATAAATGACGTAGTAGTGATACGCTCACTATTAAAAAGGTAATAAAAAATTTTTTTACTGACAAAGAAAAAGAATATTTAGAAAAATCTTTGAGTAACGAAGAGAATAATCCAATTACAGAAATAGTCCGTAATTGCTTGGGTGAGTCAAAGGGACAGAGCCGTTGGTAAATTGGGGAGTAAATTACGTTGAAAACAACGTTTTGAACAAAAAAACAATCTTTTCCTCTTTTCTTCTTTCAGGTTGTAAACAAAATTTAGTTAGATTTTGATGCCATCATTTGTACTCTCTCTCAAAACAATTTTCATGTTTTCATTTTTATTCTTCTAAAAGTAAATTTCATATTTTATTTTTTTAAAATAAAAACTTATTATGCAATTTATATCGGCTTTTTTGTACGTACGTACTCCCTCCGTTCTAAATATTTGTCACACTTGTATTTCCGAGATAAAATAACAACTTTTTTCAATTCATTTTATTTACATATTGGTATAGAAATAAAAAATAAAATTTACATATCAAAAAACTACATGAAAATGTCTTCGAAATAAGAGGTGTCAAAAATATTTTATTTTATCAAATTACCATTGAAAACGTAAAAATAAATAAAAATTCCCGCGACTGCTGAAAAAGCAAATGTTATACGGAGTAAATATTTTGGGACGGAGGTGATATTTTTTTTAACGAATTCTAGTCTCATATTTTTTTGAACTCTATGAAATGAATAAAAAATCAAATCATAGAGTTAATATTTAGAGGAATGTTGAAAATTTGAAATTTACGTTTGAAAATGTTGAATAAATTACCCTTCCAAGTCGCCCGCCATTGATATATTTTTACTTACTCCGTGGGTGATACTCCGTCCCGCCTCAGATCGGTCGCCTAATTAAGTTTATTACGACTAATTATTGTGTTTAATTATTCTCCTCAACATTTATTCAATCCCCTAATAATGTAATTTGAACAAAGAAAATAATCTGACAACCACAACAAGTTCAATAAAATTTTATATCATATTATATACTCCGTATATTTGATATGATATATGTAGTACTACCTCCGTCCCAGAGTATTTGTCCACTTTCATTTTTACACACTATCCAATACACTTTTTTAATCCATTTTATCTTGTAATTTGTATATTAAAAAATTATAGAAATTATATATTAATAATCTATATGTTAAGACAAATCAAACAAGATCACACATGACTATATTTAGGCTTACACATTGAGAGAATTTGATTAGTCAAAGTGCTTAGATGAACAGTTCTAAAAGTCAAAACTGAACGAATACTCCGGGACGGATGGAGTATATAATATAAGAATTAATAGAAGTAAAAATAATTTTTAAATTGAACATGAAAAAATTTGTTGTGACGGGGGGATAATATGAAAGAGTAATTCTTTTTAGAACGAAGGGAATATATACAAATCTGAAACTTGCTATAATTGGATTATTGTACACTAATTTATCACTTCTTCCGTCAAGAAATGTTTTTCACGTGGTGACTTGACACATAATCAAGGAGTAGTAAAAAAATGGCAAATTTCCAAAATTTGACATACTATAAAGTACTCCCTCCATTTTTTAAAACACTTCCTCTTTCATTTTTTTCACTTCCAACAAAACACTTCCACTTTCTATTAAAAAACCACTTTTACCCTTACTTTTTCATACCCTACCTATCACATCATACTTTATCTCGAATAATCTATCCATCACATTTTACTTTTACCTATCACATCAAGGACAAAATTGGAAGTCAACTACAATTTAATATTTCCTTATTTTTACACAAAGTCAAAATAGGAACACTTTTTCCAAACGGAGGGAGTATAAACTTTTAGTGCTTCTTTTCTTATTAAAAAAGTACTCCCTCCGTCCTAAAACTTTCTTCCCAGAGCACTATTCCAACTTCACGGGAATTTATATTTATTTGTGTTTTTTCATGGCCTATATGATAAAATAAAATATTCTTGTCACCACTTGTTTTGTTGAACTTTTGATGTAGTTTTTAAATATGTACTCGGAGTATGTTTTATTTTTTTATTTCTATACCAATATTTAAATAAAATAGATTGAAAAAACTTGGGATTTTTCTTCGTTTTGCGAACCGGGAAGAAAGTTTTAGGACGGAGGGAGTAATAAAAAGTAGATTAGATGTAAAATAGATTTATATTATTAAAATTTATACATAAGAAGTAGACTAAAAAAGAAAATAAGAAGAATATTTTCAGACGGGCAAAAAATGAAAATGGAAAGATCATTTTCAGACAAAGAAAGTAGCTACAAACTAATGCTTATTTATCACTGATGTTTATGGGGAAGGTTCGCATGACATTGGGAACCAATGTCATGGGATGACTCGGGGGCGCTCCGGTGCCCCATTCGTAAAATTTACGGGTTGTACCCCCCTAACCCCCCGGTAAACCACCACCCGCCCTGACCCGAATACACCTCCCCACCCCCTTCAATTGTACCCCACAAGTCGATTTTGACTTTGGAGTCAAAATTTGACTCCAAAGTCAAAATCGACTTGTGGGGTGCAATTGAAGGGGGTGGGGGTGTGTTCGAGTCGGGACAGGGTGAGGGGATTTACAGGAGGAGTTAGGGGGTAGAAACCGTCAATTTTACGAACGGGACACCAGAGCACCCTCAGATCATCTCATGACATTGATTCCCAATGTCATGGGAACTAAAGAGGATGTTTATACCCTATAAAAAAAACTTACTCAGATCTAGTTATATCAAATAAAAAATGGCTTTAAATATAAATATAATCAAATCAAAGGAGATGCAATCTAATGACAAAAGGGAGGCTAACAACATGCAAATACGGTGCAGATGATGAGGGAATGAATATGAAGTGGGGTCCACTGAAATGAGTAGCAGCTGCAGTGGGGCCCAGTGTATAGTCGCACTCCCTTGCCGCTGGGCCCCCTGACTCCAAGCTGATCAATCATTTTGTTTCCTTTGGAATACCATTTTTTTTTATTACAGTTTGAATTTTAGATCTTGTTTTTTACCGAGTAAATTTTATTGTATTCGTGTCTTAGAGGATTTATTTATTTTTATCAAATTATTTTCGATTTTTGAGGTATAATTATATAAAATATAGGATTAAATATATTTTTTTGCTCTTTATAAATAAGCGACTTTTCTAAATTAAATAAAATATAGGATTACATATATTTCTCTAATAATAATTTTTTTTAAACTAGTCCTCAATAATTTCTAATTATATACATGATACTTTATACTCTCTCTGTTCTCAAAAACACTTCTTCTTTCATTTTTTCCACTTCCAACAAAACACTTCCTCTTTCAATTAAAAAACCACTTTTACCCTTACTTTTTCATACTCTACCTATCACATCATACTTTTTCTCTAATAATCTATCCATCACATCTTACTTTTACCCATCACATCAGGGGCAAAATTGGAAATCAACTATAATTTAACACTTCCTTATTTTTGTCCCAAATCAAAATGGGAAGTCTTTTTGCAAACGGATGGAGTAATTGATACTCCCTCCGTTTGGAAAAACATTTCCCATTTGGATTTGGGGCAAAAATAAGGAAGTGTTAAATTATAGTTGATTTCCAATTTTGCCCCTGATGTGATGGGTAAAAGTAAGATGTGATGGATATATAGATTATTAGAGAAAAAGTATGATGTGATAGGTATGGTATGAAAAAGTAAGGGTAAAAGTGGTTTTTTAATAGAAAAGAGAAGTGTTTTGTTGGAAGTGGAAAAAATGAAAGAGGAAGTGTTTTTGAGAAGGGAGGGAGTATTTTTTACCTAAATAGTCTTTCATAAAAAACTCACCTAAATGGTGACATTTAAGTACTCATGCATCAAAATACCTTTTACGTAATTGACATTTAGGTGCTTTTTTTTAAGAAAGACGACTATTTAAGGAATAAATCTCAATTATAAAGTGTCATGTATGTAATTAGAAATTATAGAGAACTAATTTGAGAAAATATCTCATTAGGAAGTATCATTTTGAAAATTTACTACTCTAATTTTTTTGTTAAGCCATCCATCTCAAAATTTTTATTTTGAAAATGGTATTTAAATGTATTTGGCACTTCACTTCTAACTCGTTGATATATTACATTTATTTTGTATTCAATATTCTAATATTGCATTTCTAATTGCCACACAATTTTCATGTCATGGATTGTGTATCCTAAAATATTTGGGTATTTTGAGATGTAATACGAGTAAAGATACAAATCACCTATGTTACCAAATAATATATATATATATAGACACACACACACATACACACACACACACATATATATGATATCTTAATTGGATAAAATAATATTTTTAAAATATTTATAAATTAATTGTAATGTTTTTTTGTATCAATAAGTAATGTCATTTTTATTTAATTAATGATCAAACTTTTTAAATTTTAACATAAAAATCAACATTAGACAAATATCCGGGGACCAGTATAATAATTAACATGTTTATTCGATAAATCTAAACCATTTTTTTAAGACATACTCCGTTGAAAACACATGGTTGGGAGTGTGTTTGGAAATAATTTTTGAGTTTCCACTTCATTGAAATACATTTTTAAATGTTTTCCAATCAACTTCAGATTATCAATTGTGATTTTAGGAGAAAGAATTTTGCTTTAGAAGTGATTTTTACCAAAATTCTGAGAAATTACTTTCGGTTTCTGATTTAACATATTTACTTTTTCCAGACTTATGATACTCAAAAATATTTTAAATCTGGAAAAGTAACGTTTCTAGTAAGATGTACTGTTATTGTGTTAGCTCTAGATGTGACAGAGACCAAGTGCTAAAAACATGATGCCGTAAAAAAAGAGCTAAAGAAGAGAAAAAAATGAACATAAAAAAAAAAAGAAAAAAAAAAGAAAAGAAAACAAGAGATTCCCTATATATCCCTCTCTCTCTCTAGTCCCAATCTCATACCCACAATACACGCATCCCCATAATACCCCTTTGAATAATTATTACCCCTTCACACCTATTCTCTCTCTCCCCATCTCTATCTCCATTCATCTCTCTATATATATGTTGTCTCCAAGAATGTTTTTGTAACAGACAACCTTTGCCTTAACAGCTCTCTTTGTATCTTCTATATATCACTCTCTATTTACATCTTCTTCTTCATTCAGAAATCACATTCCCTATAGGGATGATGATGGATCCTTCCATTGCCCAGGTAAAAAAAACAAAGATGAAAAAATGGGATAAATATGAATTGATTTAAACAATAATGTTCTTATAATGTTTTATTTTTGATATGTAGGAATTGGCCACCCAGACACTGGGAAGCATGTTGGGGTGCGGAAAGCAGGAGCGAGAGCGGGAGCAGGAGCGGCAGCTGGAGAAGAAGCCGAGGCCGGCGGATGGGCAAACCCTAAAATGCCCCCGGTGCGACTCCGCGAACACCAAGTTTTGCTACTACAACAACTACAGCCTCTCCCAGCCCAGATACTTCTGCAAGTCCTGCAGGAGGTACTGGACCAAGGGCGGGACCCTCCGCAACGTCCCGGTCGGCGGCGGCTGCCGCAAGAACCGGAGGCCGTCGTCGAGGTCCCGCAGCCAGGACCAGTCCCTCTGCACCAGCCCCAACCCCTTCCCGCCCCACCCCACCCTGGGAGGTGGGGCGGCAGGGGCGGGGGCGCTGCCCTACGAGCCGAGCGATCTCAGCTACGCAATTGCCCGGCTCCAGAAGCAGGCCAGTCTCGGGATGGACGACCTGCCCATGATGTGCAACCTCGGCACAGCCCCCGGCGCCGCCTTCGGCGGCGGCGGCTACTTCGACGGTGCGGCGGCGAACACCGGACTGTTCCAGAACTTGTTCTACGGCGGCGGCGTGGGGATGGAAAGTGGCGGCGCGGTGGGTGGTCTTGAGATGGGGATAGCGTATGATGGGGGGCACCTGGAGGGGATTGGGGCTGCCACGTCAGCAGAAGGAAGGGAGGATAAAAATAATGAAAACAATAATGGAGGTGAGACTGATAACGGGAGGGGGTTATTATGGTCATTTCCATGGCAATCAGTTGGAGGGGGAGGAGCAAATATGGGTGGGTTTGGATCATCTTGGCATGGACTTCTCAATGCCCACTGCACATCTTAATAAGTAATTAATTAATTAAGCTATTGCTTAATTTAATTAATACAACTTTAATTACCCTTTCATTAGATCTTTCGATCAGACTTATTTATTCTATTTTAATTTAAGATGTTCTTCATGAGAGGTTTTTTTGTACTAAGTGATGATATGATTTTCAATTTTTTTTGTAATTTCTTGAAGTGGCCGGGATTAAATGTATTATGTACTGTAGTAATTAAATTTTATGCTGTTTCCTGATCGACAAAACTAATGAAAGTTTCATATTTTTGGTTGAAAGGATCGGATATTTTTTGTTTTTCTTCCAGTGAAAATGTAGCTTTAATCTCAATTTCAGATCCAAAATTCTTAATCGCCCCGTTTGATATTGCCGTTAGAGATTAGCGTTAGCATTTTGAAAAGGCTATTCGACATTAGTCTTTAGCCTTAGCATTTTCAGAATTAGTTCATACCATTAAAATTTTATCAAAAATGTTAACGCTAATCGAAAACATTTTTTCCAAACAAGATCAATATTGGCGCAACTCAGCTTAACTAAGGCGGACTTATATATGCATAGCATTTTTATAAATGTTAAAATAAACGTTAAAATTGTTGTCAAACGGCATGTATCCTTGGATATGTGACAAGAACATATTTTTGGTGTATTATACGGGGTACAATGATGTAATTTTACCGAATCCACATCTATGGAGTACGGAGTATTATTTTTGTGAATTAGAGGTGACAATGAGTATATTTTGACTAATTTTATAGTTTGTGGAATTTTTCTCTAATCTCTCTAACTTGATTGTCTTTTAGTCTAATTTCTTCTTTAATTAACCATAATTGTGGTTGAAGTCTTGCCCAAAAATTTGATTAAATTTATTTAAATAAGATCAAAATATTAAACTTATACTAAAATAAGACTAATTATATTTTATTTTATAAAAAGGAGTATTTACATCATAAATGTCTATAATTTGACATTATGTATTGGCATTTCATACTAATTTTAGCATTATTTATTGCAACTATAAGTCAACTCATATAAAAATATTGAAACTCATATTTTGGCCTATGGAGGGTCTATTCTTTTTCTTGAAATTCTAAAATTTGATGTTGAAAGAAACTAGAAAGATTAAAAAAACTGAAAGGAATGCTTTAAAAAATATAGAAAAAATAAAGTGTTAAAAAATCATTCAATTAAGGGAAAAAGACTAAAGTAGGTATAAAACTTAAAAAATATACCAAAATAGAAGTTAAAATGTATATGCAATGTCAATCATGTGTATGTATAATACCCAAAAGTATGTGAATTATCCATATAGTGAGTCATTGTCATCGTATAAACCTGTTTAGAAAATAAAAATACGAAAGTCCTATTTAAGCTCTTTCTTTATGTTTGACTCCTATTTAGGCAATATTTTTCAATTAAATGGTCTTTCAAATAAATGCGTAAAAAAACTAATTTTGGATAAAAAATTCATCTTTGTCCATGTTTGAGGTAGTATGTTATAAATTTAGATATACGATATTATTGTATACTCCATCTGTTTACCAAAACACTTCCCATTTTGACTAATGACAGAAATAAGGAATGTATATTTGTAGTCGATTTTCTAAATTTACAAAAACTCTAGTGTATTATTTAAAAAACTTTTTTATTATTATTCTGTATATTTTAAGACATGTTGTTAATTGTGCTTGACACAACACAGAAACCAAGGTGGATAGTTGAAAATAGAGCTGGCAAATCGGTCGGTCAGGTCGGGTTCGGGTTCGGTCACTTTAAGTTTGGGTTATTTCGAGTTCGGGTCAATTCGGGTTCAGGTTGAAAATTGTATGTTCATGACCTAGTGTCATCGGGTTCGGGTCGACCCAACGGATTATGACTTTGGTTTTTTAAATTTTCTAATTCACATTAACACTTAAATTTTCTATTAAATAAATTTAAAATATCAAAAAATATGTATTAGATCTATAAAATTATTTTATTTTAAACTCTGAAGTAATTTTTAGATATATATAAATCAATATAAGAAATTTAAAAATTCTTAAGTTTTGGAAAAAGTAAGATAATTATGCAATATCATTAAAATTTTGTCTGAATATATATATTAATACACTAAAAACGTGTAGTAAAGTGTATAATTTTGAAAAATTCTTTCTTTAGCGGGTCGGTCGGGTTCGGGTTCGGTCGGGTTTGATCCATTTTTAGCGGGTCATTTCGGGTTCGGTCAACTTCAAGTTCGGTCTTCAAAACATTTGTTCAAAACCCAGTGTTTTCAGGTCAGGTTTCGGGTCAAAAACAGGTCGGGTTATTTTTTGCCAGGTCTAGTTGAAAATGAATGAAGCTATAGTTTTTCAATTTTTTCGCAAATTCAATTTGAGTAAAACATGCCATCGGTTACCCACTTACCAATGATTATTTTGAAAAGACCAAACACATTATAAAAAACATAATAAAATAAGAGTAACTAGTAAATTCACCAAATTATGATTATTAAAAACGAAAAAAAACTGTAATGATAGTAGATGATTCTTATCAATTTTTTTACAATCTCATTCCACAAAAAGACAATTAGTTTGAGTTTACAAAATATAACTATTTATATTCTTTTTTTTTTTGAAATTTTATAAGAAGACTATAAAAATATGAAAAATATTTAATTAGATGTGAGAGAATTTTGTGAATTTCATATTCATTTTTTCCAAAAAAAAAGGAATAATTTATGAATTAAATTTGATGGTCAACACGACAAACCCTAGGATAAGAAGAATAGAATAGATATATGTAGCGGCAAGCACTTTTATTCTTAATTCACGGAGGATGTTTTACACACCCTGCTTGATTTTGTCTCTTCTACGAAATATTTTACCTGTTTTCAAACTAAATTAAATTTGTAGTTTTTTTTGAAAAACTTTAATTTGGAAGAATGAAAAAGAAAAATGTAAAATTTAGTTAAAGAAATACGGATTATATTTATTCCCATATACTTTTAGTAATTAATCTATAGGTTCTCTCTGTCATATTATAACTATTACGAGTACATGTTTATGTCAACTTTTTGGTTATAATAAACATGTGTCATATTTCTTTGTGATTGCTGCTTAAGAAAAATGCTAGAAAAATCATCTACTTATTTTACAAGGTTATTTTTCTATTCAGATTGTCTTATAAATTTTTTCAGGTCTCATTTTAAGGAAAAGTTGTGCCACTATGTTTGTTCTATTTAAATCAATTTTTTTAATCATGTTTTTAAATATTTATTTTCCTATATTTCTTTATTCTAAAAAGAATGCAACAGTTCACTATTCAAAAATTACATTTTTTTTCATTTGTACGCTTTCATTAAATATTTGATAAAAATATATTATCGTCACCTCTTGTGTTGAAGAATTTTTTATGTGGTTTTTAAGTATGTAAATTTTATTTTTTATTTCTATATCGATCTTTAAATAAAATAAATTTAAAAACTTTAAATTTTAGTTTATTTTCCACAATGTGACAAATATTTTAAGAGAAAGGATGTAGACAGTATTATTTATATCCAACCCTATCATTAATATTTAATTTTTGTGACAAGTAAAATGTGAAGACTGAACAAAAAAAGCATACAGTGGCAATTTTTCATGTCTTGGCACATGGAAGATTATTGCTGTTGAAGGGAGTTAAAGTGTGGCATAGAATTGAAATGTGGCAGCAAATACGAACGGAATAATACTATAATGTGCAGGCTGGCCAATTTTCAAGATTTCTTTTAGGGCAATTTTCAAAATATTCTTTCATGATTTGACTGTTTCTTATTTTTCAGGTACTTCCTATCATTATTTAATTAATCAAATGGTTGAAAAAATTTACTCCCTCTTCCCAAAATCAAATTTCTCCTTTTCTTTTTCAGTGTTATTGACTAAAAACGTGATTTAAATAATGATAGTTATAATCCATGATTAGCAAAGAAATTGAATTGGAAATAAAAGTAATCAAGCATCATAACGTGAATAAGAAGATTTATTGTGATAAAGATGTTTAATACATTTATCAATATTGTGGTATGTTAATAAATACTCTCTCTGTCCCCGAAAACATGGAAGATTCTGATTTTTAAAGAATTTAAGGAGGGTATTTTGGTGTTGAATTTTCAAAAGTATCTTCAGATGTGATGGTTAAAATAGAATTTAATTTGTAAATTAATAGTGAATGGATGTAATGCGATAGGTAAGTTAAGAATTAATATAAGTAAATGTGACTTTCTAATGAAAATGAGAAAAGTTTTTTAAATTAGATGATAAAAGAAAAGAGAAAGATTTTCAATAACCAACGAATACATTTTTTTTTAAATTTTGGTGCTCTGAAAAATTAGGGGCCCTAAGCCAATGCCTAGTTCACCTAGACTTGGAGAATGGAGATGGTTGTGTCTAGGCCTGGCAAAACTGACCCGAACACGATAACCCGAGCCGAATAATCCGGAACTGAACCTGATTTGACCCAAAAACTGAAGACCTGAATAAGAATCGAACACTCAACATGATCTGAACCGAACTCAAACCGAATGTATTCACACCCGATTCAGATCCGAATCCGATTTAACCCGAATCGATTAAACCCAAACCGATAAAACCCGAACCCGGTTAAACCTGGAACTGATTAGACCCGAAATTGATTAAATTTTATGTATGTACGTGTTAAATAATAAAATAACTACGGAGTATATCATAAATTGATTATATTTATTATGTGATATTATTGATTTATTAGTAAATATTTAAAATATATCTGAATTAATATAAACCTAAATCGATGCAAACCTGAATCGATATAACCTCGAACCGATACAAACCCGAACCGATATAAACCCGATCCGATACAAACCCAAACCGATACAAACCCGAACTGAAACCGAACCGATACCGAAAATCAGTCAAACTGAAATAAACCCGGAACCGAATTGACCCAAAGCGAACTGACCCGAACCGATTATAACATATATCCGAATGAGACCCGAACCGGAACCGAAGTGATTGACCCGATTGCCAGGTCTAGTTGTGTCTATCCGTTTTGAAATACTCCCGTAAGTTTTATGCTTCGCCTATCCTTTTTAAGAAAGAAAATATAATCATGTTACACATACACCAAAGAATGTACTTTTATACAAAAAAATACACTAACATTTTGATAGTTAACATTAGTACAAAATGCTAGTGTGATTAAACTTGTTTACAGTAACA